AAAAATTGCTAGTGTGCATGGAGCTTCAGGGTGGTGATCATTAAGTCACCGATCGATGCAGATGGCCAGCTGTATGGCTTCTTCTAGAATCTCAGATGTAAGTAAATCAACCTGAACTTCCTTGATCCTTGGAATCAAGATGATTCCAGTCAGAATCTGCATCCCATCTCCTGAACTTGGAACAATATTGCTCAACTGACAGCTTGCCTGGACATAAAAATTTGGTTTTGCAGTGTGTACGTGAAGACATACATGGAACCCAAAGTAATGTCAGAAGGTGGTAAACTGAAGACCCACCTATAGCAACCACCTTTCTCTTAAGGATAGTATGCTAGACTTAAGGTGCTATATTTGCCAAACTGGGATGCTCACCTGCAACTCCAGAGTGAAAGTTTACATACCATGTCTGATAATATTAGGATGCAGAATTTTACAAGGTAGGCATAGCATACAGGACATTCAGTAGCGTAAATCCATTATGCAGGCAAAGGTATGGGCAAGAGGTGTCAGTAATGTAATCAATTATTCAGGCAGAAGGTCAGTAGTATAGACAATCCAGAGACAAGGCAAGGCACAAGGCACAGAAGCTAGACAACAGAATTTCTTCCAACACCTGAACCCTGGACTTATGATAATCAAATAAAGTGCCAAAGCTTTTCCGGCCAATCGGGGGGGGCTAGGCAAATGGAGCTGGCTGACTGCCTACCAATAGAGACACATCCCAAGAAGAGTGTCCTCACTGACAAATAGGGGCAGTGGCATTGAGCCTGTTGCCTGGCCATAGCTGCACAAGCCAGGAAGAGTGGTGCAAGGTGAGTGGGTACAACATTGCCGGAGTGTCCTGTTCATTCCTAACACTGTAGTGATGAGCTGCCATATCGTAGTATAGAATCAGCTGTCAGGTAAGTCCATCAACCATGTATATTTTAATTATCTGTGGGCATTATTGAGCTTTAGCACTTGTGGGCTGATTAAAACGCACTGGAACTTGTGCAACCTATATGATATCAGTAGGCTTCAAGCTCCTCCCATTGGCAGTTTTGACATAAAAGAACAGAACAATTTATTTGGCTATGTGTGTGAAAACGCACTGGAGAAGCTTCCTTACTTGGTCTATAGCAACAAATATACACAGTATACAGTATATTATAATAGATTTGCCACAAAGGACTAAGGTTTTGGTGAATTAACAAATGTATCAGTAGATAAGCCAATCTGCTGTTCTCTGTGCAAAACTAAAATGTCAGTTGGTTACAGCCTTTGAAGTTTTTTTTTTACTCCAGCTAACAAAAATATATAGTAATACTCAATGATAAACAGCTGTATTATGTTCCCTATAAATATTTGTTTTTATCATCACAATGGTTGAAAAAGGAGCTTTGCTTTACTATACGGGTGAGAGACGTTGACACTGAAAGGACGCGTACACACTTGGAGAGATGTATTAATAAAATATAACTTTTAAAAGTGTCTATCTGTCATGTGAGAAACTATTCTGTAATGTTATTTTCTTCAGTTTGAAATAAAAAGGGAATGGTTAAGGATGGCCTGGCACCAAAACAAATATTCACAGCTGTATAAAAGATGTTAACTGAATACACAACAGTAGCCATGGTTACCTTCATACTTTCATATATCCATTAATATGCACTCTTTTTTTCTGGAAATACCATTATGAGGTAATCTAATACAATTTAGGTCTCAGTATGCATGAATAGACCATTTCAGAGGGAGTCTTCAATTTTTTGTTGTCTCCAAAACATAAAGATTGGATTATACCATGCCATCTGCTGATTTTTTATTATGTTATTTTACAAAAGATTTTATCTGCTGCAAGCTTTTTTTTTTTTTTAAATATTATAAAATGCTCGCTCATCAAGTAGTGTTTCTTGTGTTTGAAGCACAGTCATCACTTTCTTGGACCTTTTCTGTCAGGGATTCACCTGAGGGTCCTCATCCAGACTGTTACCAATAGCCTTTGCTAGCTCTATCTGTGAATACTTTTCACTCAGCTCCCTCTGCTCAGAATTTTTCTGATGCACTTCACTGGTTCCACTGCTTATCAGCTACATTTGTTTGGTCCCCTTGCCCTATACACTTCCATTTGGTGTTCAAATGCCGATACAGTCCCCTTTAATGTTCTATCCAAGTGTGCCGAGGTGTACAAAGGTGTCTCGATGCATCCTGCCCATTTAACGGACAAGTTTACCTTTAGCTACAATCTAGGCACTTACTTACCTCCTACAATGGTGATCTCATGGCTGCCAAAAGCGCATACAGTTGCCCATGGCTGCACTGTAATGTCCCACAGACTAGGGTGACCAGACTTTCCCAATTTTAGGTGGCTGCCCTTGGATAAAAATTGTCCCCAATTGTGTCTTCAGACTGTATTATACCTATGGGGTGACAAACTCTGATCTCTATAGATGTCGTCAGGGATATGGTCAGAGTCTCCCTAATGTGTCAGTACCAGGTCTCCATTCATTTTGAGGTCCCTGTCTACCCTGACATTCCTCCATTCCCTTAGATGTTGTTGGGGCCATGGGCAGTGCCCTAAAACCTTGTCAGAGTCAGGTCTCTATTTAGTCTGATCATCAGTGGTCTATCACTATGGACACTGCTGGAATTGTGGGCAGAGCTTTGTGTTTCCTGCAACCTTGCCTGTGTTTGCTCCATTTGAGACTCCTTTTCATGTGGCCCTGGTTGATTTGGCAGACACCGTTGATGCAAATGGGTGCTGGGCTAGGTAAATTCTGATTGTATTTCTATGCACATTTATAGTGCACAGTTTAATTAATAACAATTACAGTTTGAGTTCTCTGACTTGATTACAATCTGATTACTTGACACTATGTCTACCCCTACTTGAAGTATTCTTTGCTTGTGTAGTATGGCATAGTTTCCAACATTTCAAAGAAATTCCCTGTGACACTTTTTTTTTTGCCACAGTCAAGCCACAAATCATTGTAGAATATATGTTATGTGTGAGACATTCATATAAAGTTTAAGTTTAAATGAAAAATGAAAAAGTGAACTAACACCCTACGCCCCCCCCCCCCCCCTCCCAGGTCCTCAAGGAGTGTGGACTATGTAATGGTATGTGTAGGAAAGGAGTATGGAGTGTGTGATGGCATGTATAGGAAAGGAGTGTGAGTGTGTGATGGCATGTGTAGGAAAGGAGTATGGAGTGTGTGATGGTATGTATAGGAAAGGAGTGTGGGGTGTGTGATGGTATGTGCAGGAAAAGAGTGTGGAGTGTGTGATGGTATGTATAGGAAAGGGAGTATGGAGTATGTGATGGTATGTATAGGAAAGGAGTGTGGAGTGTGTGATGGTATGTATAGGAGAGCAGTGTGTAGTCTGTGATGGTATGTATAGGAAAGGAGTGTGTAGTGTGTGATGATATGTGTATGAAAGGAGTGTGTAGTGTACGATGATATGTATAGGAAAGGAGATGTAGTGTGTGATGTATGTGTAGGAAATGAGGTATAGTGTGTGATGGTATGTATAGGAAAGGAGTGTGGAGAGTGTGATGGTATGTATAGGAAAGGAGTGTGGAGAGTGTGATTGTAGGTGTAGGAAAGATACTATAATATTATACACCTGCGTTACGATGAATAGACCTTGAGGTGGGCCAGGAAATCACATCATCCTGCACACTACACCATGACATCGTACACTCCGGGTTGGATGAGTAAGGAACTGGCCATTATAGATGATATAAAGCAGCCATCCGAGGATTTCATGCAATTTTATACATATGCACATACTGTATATCTTAGTGCTGGGCCAGAACTTAGTGAGTAGATTATACAGATTTTATATTGAATAAAGTGTTTTAAAGTTTTTACACTATGGTGGTCTCCTTCTATTCCCTCCCCTATGTGGCATGGTAATATGTGGCTGGAATTCAAGTGGAACATCTAACTTTAGGATGCAGTGGATGGTGCCATAAAAGATCAAGCATACCAAGAGCATTATGACTTACCTGTTGTAGGTGGTCATATCTATCTAATGAGTTCTCTGTGTTGGTGGTAAAGGATCACTGGGATATAGCATGAGAGCACACAGTTGTGTTTTTGAAGATTGCACAGAAGTACATTTAAGTAAGATTGATTGCATGAGCAGCCACATGGTGGCATAGAACATACACTACATTGCCAAAAGTATTGGGACACCCCTCCAAATCATTGGATTTAGGTGTTCCAATCCCCTCCATGGCCACAGGTGTATAAAATCAAGCACTTAGGCATGCAGACTGCTTCTACAAACATTTGTGAAAGAATGTGTCGCTCTCAGGAGCTCAGTGGATTCAAGTGTGGTACTGTGATAGGTTGCCATCTGTGCAATAAGTCCATCTGTGAAATTTCCTTGCAGTCAACTGTTAGTGGTATTATAACAAAGTGGAAACAACTGGGAACAAAAGCAACTCAGCCACGAAGTGGTAGGCCATGACAGAACGGGGTCAGTGCATGCTGACGCATGAAGTGCGCAGAAGTCACCAACTGTCTGCAAAGTCAATAGCTAAGGACCTCCAAATTTTGTGTGGCTTTCAGATTAGCACAACAACAGTGCATCCAAGCCTTACATCACAAAGTCCAATGCAAAGTGTCGGATGCAGTGGTGTAAAAGCGAGGTTCAACTGTGGGGTTTTACCACCCCCAACCACTAGTGTGAATGAGCATAAAGAGACCAAATGAATTGCTCCATCACTACAGAGGCCATTGGGCAATGGCATGCACAGAGAAACTGAAGCCGGTTGCAGGCTCACATCAGTACAAGACAACCACTAGAGATGAGCGAAGAAATGAAAAATTCGATTCGACTGATTCGGCGAATTCGTGGACAATATTCGATTCGAGTCGAATAAATTCGCTGTGAATTTAACTTAAAAAAGGGTGTTTCTAGGCTTCAGAGAGACTTAATATTAGTGCAGAACACTGTACCTTTAATTTAAATGCCCTTGGAGTCTGCTGGGGAAGAGAAATAATACAGTCACTCAGTATGACATGCAGATGAGTGCCGTCGATCTTAGAATCACCGCACACTTCACTCATTTGGGCAGTCACGGGGCCAAAACCAGTGTTTGGAGCCACAGTGTGGCGGTGGAGGCAGCAGCAATGGGAGGCCATACAGCAACCTATGACAAAATGGAAACCAGCAGGAGTGTGAGGAGACCTGAAAGTGGCACATGGCAGAGTGGGAGCAATGGGAGGCGGTACAGGGACCCAGGTCACACTGTGGGCCCAGCAGCAGCGTGACCAGGCGGTACAGGGGCCCATGGCAGATTTGGGGCCTGGCAGCACCTATGGGAGGCCTGTAATCTGCCAGCACCCTATGACAAAATGGAACCCTGGGCTGGGGCAGGCAGAACCGCCGTATATTTAATCACGGTTTTCCCAGGCCACCAGAATGGCGACGCTGCATATGCTGATGCAACGCTGTAGTCCCAACATGGGCCCCCTGGCCACGCTTGACTTTCTGGCCACATAGTCGACATACCGCTACGTTTACTTAATCGGGGCGGCTTGACGAAAAATTGCCACACCGCAGAGTAGGAAACTTTGCCTCCGCTACTCCTCCTCACTGGCTGACTGCTACTTCCTCCGTGCACACCGGCACCACTACTGGCCGTGGTGGTAGGCTGCAGTGAGCTGGTGCTCTACTCGTCCGTGGCCGTTTGCCTCCACTGACACTGCTGCGACCCTGCTGCCTCCTGGCAGCAGCAATGGGAGGCCGTACAGGGACCCATGAGACTCTGGACTTGGCAGCAGCATGAGGAGGCGGTATATAGGGGCCCATGGCAGATTAGGGGCCTGGCAGCAGCTATGGGAGGCCCGTAATCTGCCAGCACCCTATGTCAAAAAATTCAACACACACAGCAGTGTGTGAAGAGACCTGAATGTGGCACATGGCAGAGTGTGGCGATGGAAACAGCAGCAATGGGAGGCCGTACAGGGACCCATGAGAGACTCTGGACTTGGCAGCAGCATGAGGAGGCGGTATATAGGGGCCCATGGCAGATTAGGGGCCTGGCAGCAGCTATGGGAGGCCCGTAATCTGCCAGCACCCTATGTCAAAAAATTGAAAACACAGCAGTGTGAAGAGACCTGAAAGTGGCACATGGCAGAGTGTGGCGATGGAGACAGCAGCAATGGGAGCCGTACAGGGACCCATGAGAGACTCTGGACTTGGCAGCAGCATGAGGAGGCGGTATATAGGGGCCCATGGCAGATTAGGGGCCTGGCAGCAGCTATGGGAGGCCCGTAATCTGCCAGCACCCTATGTCAAAAAATTCAACACACCAGCAGTGTGTGAGGAGACCTGAAAGTGGCACATGGCAGAGTGTGGCGATGGAGACAGCAGCAATGGGAGGCCGTACAGGGACCCATGAGAGACTCTGGACTTGGCAGCAGCATGAGGAGGCGGTATATAGGGGCCCATGGCAGATTAGGGGCCTGGCAGCAGCTATGGGAGGCCCGTAATCTGCCAGCACCCTATGTCAAAAAATTCAACACACCAGCAGTGTGTGAGGAGACCTGAAAGTGGCACATGGCAGAGTGTGGCGATGGAGACAGCAGCAATGGGAGGCCGTACAGGGACCCATGAGAGACTCTGGACTTGGCAGCAGCATGAGGAGGCGGTATATAGGGGCCCATGGCAGATTAGGGGCCTGGCAGCAGCTATGGGAGGCCCGTAATCTGCCAGCACCCTATGTCAAAAAATTCAACACACCAGCAGTGTGTGAGGAGACCTGAAAGTGGCACATGGCAGAGTGTGGCGATGGAGACAGCAGCAATGGGAGGCCGTACAGGGACCCATGAGAGACTCTGGACTTGGCAGCAGCATGAGGAGGCGGTATATAGGGGCCCATGGCAGATTAGGGGCCTGGCAGCAGCTATGGGAGGCCCGTAATCTGCCAGCACCCTATGTCAAAAAATTCAACACACACAGCAGTGTGTGAGGAGACCTGAAAGTGGCACATGGCAGAGTGTGGCGATGGAGACAGCAGCAATGGGAGGCCGTACAGGGACCCATGAGAGACTCTGGACTTGGCAGCAGCATGAGGAGGCGGTATATAGGGGCCCATGGCAGATTAGGGGCCTGGCAGCAGCTATGGGAGGCCCGTAATCTGCCAGCACCCTATGTCAAAAAATTGAACACACCAGCAGTGTGAGGAGACCTGAAAGTGGCACATGGCAGAGTGTGGCGATGGAGACAGCAGCAATGGGAGGCCGTACAGGGACCCCACCCATGAGAGACTCTGGACTTGGCAGCAGCATGAGGAGGCGGTATATAGGGGCCCATGGCAGATTAGGGGCCTGGCAGCAGCTATGGGAGGCCCGTAATCTGCCAGCACCCTATGTCAAAAAATTCAACACACCAGCAGTGTGTGAAGAGACCTGAAAGTGGCACATGGCAGAGTGTGGCGATGGAGACAGCAGCAATGGGAGGCCGTACAGGGACCCATGAGAGACTCTGGACTTGGCAGCAGCATGAGGAGGCGGTATATAGGGGCCCATGGCAGATTAGGGGCCTGGCAGCAGCTATGGGAGGCCCGTAATCTGCCAGCACCCTATGTCAAAAAATTCAACACACCAGCAGTGTGTGAGGAGACCTGAAAGTGGCACATGCAGCAGAGTGTGGCGATGGAGACAGCAGCAATGGGAGGCCGTACAGGGACCCATGAGAGACTCTGGACTTGGCAGCAGCATGAGGAGGCGGTATATAGGGGCCCATGGCAGATTAGGGGCCTGGCAGCAGCTATGGGAGGCCCGTAATCTGCCAGCACCCTATGTCAAAAAATTCAAACACAGCAGTGTGTGAGGAGACCTGAAAGTGGCACATGGCAGAGTGTGGCGATGGAGACAGCAGCAATGGGAGGCCGTACAGGGACCCATGAGAGACTCTGGACTTGGCAGCAGCATGAGGAGGCGGTATATAGGGGGCCCATGGCAGATTAGGGGCCTGGCAGCAGCTATGGGAGGCCCGTAATCTGCCAGCACCCTATGTCAAAAAATTGAACACACCAGCAGTGTGTGAAGAGACCTGAAAGTGGCACAGTGGCACATGGCAGAGTGTGGCGATGGAGACAGCAGCAATGGGAGGCCGTACAGGGACCCATGAGAGACTCTGGACTTGGCAGCAGCATGAGGAGGCGGTATATAGGGGCCCATGGCAGATTAGGGGCCTGGCAGCAGCTATGGGAGGCCCGTAATCTGCCAGCACCCTATGTCAAAAAATGAAAACACACCAGCAGTGTGTGAGGAGACCTGAAAGTGGCACATGGCAGAGTGTGGCGATGGAGACAGCAGCAATGGGAGGCCGTACAGGGACCCATGAGAGACTCTGGACTTGGCAGCAGCATGAGGAGGCGGTATATAGGGGCCCATGGCAGATTAGGGGCCTGGCAGCAGCTATGGGAGGCCCGTAATCTGCCAGCACCCTATGTCAAAAAATTCAACACACCAGCAGTGTGTGAAGAGACCTGAAAGTGGCACATGGCAGAGTGTGGCGATGGAGACAGCAGCAATGGGAGGCCGTACAGGGACCCATGAGAGACTCTGGACTTGGCAGCAGCATGAGGAGGCGGTATATAGGGGCCCATGGCAGATTAGGGGCCTGGCAGCAGCTATGGGAGGCCCGTAATCTGCCAGCACCCTATGTCAAAAAATTCAACACACCAGCAGTGTGTGAGAGAGACCTGAAAGTGGCACATGGCAGAGTGTGGCGATGGAGACAGCAGCAATGGGAGGCCGTACAGGGACCCATGAGAGACTCTGGACTTGGCAGCAGCATGAGGAGGCGGTATATAGGGGCCCATGGCAGATTAGGGGCCTGGCAGCAGCTATGGGAGGCCCGTAATCTGCCAGCACCCTATGTCAAAAAATTGAAACACACCAGCAGTGTGTGAGGAGACCTGAAAGTGGCACATGGCAGAGAGTGTGGCGATGGAGACAGCAGCAATGGGAGGCCGTACAGGGACCCATGAGAGACTCTGGACTTGGCAGCAGCATGAGGAGGCGGTATATAGGGGCCCATGGCAGATTAGGGGCCTGGCAGCAGCTATGGGAGGCCCGTAATCTGCCAGCACCCTATGTCAAAAAATAACACACCAGCAGTGTGTGAGGAGACCTGAAAGTGGCACATGGCAGAGTGTGGCGATGGAGACAGCAGCAATGGGAGGCCGTACAGGGACCCATGAGAGACTCTGGACTTGGCAGCAGCATGAGGAGGCGGTATATAGGGGCCCATGGCAGATTAGGGGCCTGGCAGCAGCTATGGGAGGCCCGTAATCTGCCAGCACCCTATGTCAAAAAATTCAAACACAGCAGCAGTGTGTGAGGAGACCTGAAAGTGGCACATGGCAGAGTGTGGCGATGGAGACAGCAGCAATGGGAGGCCGTACAGGGACCCATGAGAGACTCTGGACTTGGCAGCAGCATGAGGAGGCGGTATATAGGGGCCCATGGCAGATTAGGGGCCTGGCAGCAGCTATGGGAGGCCCGTAATCTGCCAGCACCCTATGTCAAAAAATTCAACACACACAGCAGTGTGTGAGGAGACCTGAAAGTGGCACATGGCAGAGTGTGGCGATGGAGACAGCAGCAATGGGAGGCCGTACAGGGACCCATGAGAGACTCTGGACTGGCAGCAGCATGAGGAGGCGGTATATAGGGGCCCATGGCAGATTAGGGGCCTGGCAGCAGCTATGGGAGGCCCGTAATCTGCCAGCACCCTATGTCAAAAAATTGAAAACACACCAGCAGTGTGTGAGGAGACCTGAAAGTGGCACATGGCAGAGAGTGTGGCGATGGAGACAGCAGCAATGGGAGGCCGTACAGGGACCCATGAGAGACTCTGGACTTGGCAGCAGCATGAGGAGGCGGTATATAGGGGCCCATGGCAGATTAGGGGCCTGGCAGCAGCTATGGGAGGCCCGTAATCTGCCAGCACCCTATGTCAAAAAATTGAACACACCAGCAGTGTGAGGAGACCTGAAAGTGGCACATGGCAGAGTGTGGCGATGGAGACAGCAGCAATGGGAGGCCGTACAGGGACCCATGAGAGACTCTGGACTTGGCAGCAGCATGAGGAGGCGGTATATAGGGGCCCATGGCAGATTAGGGGCCTGGCAGCAGCTATGGGAGGCCCGTAATCTGCCAGCACCCTATGTCAAAAAATTCAACACACCAGCAGTGTGAAGAGACCTGAAAGTGGCACATGGCAGAGTGTGGCGATGGAGACAGCAGCAATGGGAGGCCGTACAGGGACCCATGAGAGACTCTGGACTTGGCAGCAGCATGAGGAGGCGGTATATAGGGGCCCATGGCAGATTAGGGGCCTGGCAGCAGCTATGGGAGGCCCGTAATCTGCCAGCACCCTATGTCAAAAAATTCAACACAACAGCAGTGTGTGAGGAGACCTGAAAGTGGCACATGGCAGAGTGTGGCGATGGAGACAGCAGCAATGGGAGGCCGTACAGGGACCCATGAGAGACTCTGGACTTGGCAGCAGCATGAGGAGGCGGTATATAGGGGCCCATGGCAGATTAGGGGCCTGGCAGCAGCTATGGGAGGCCCGTAATCTGCCAGCACCCTATGTCAAAAAATTTAACACACACAGCAGTGTGAAGAGACCTGAAAGTGGCACATGCAGCAGAGTGTGGCGATGGAGACAGCAGCAATGGGAGGCCGTACAGGGACCCATGAGAGACTCTGGACTTGGCAGCAGCATGAGGAGGCGGTATATAGGGGCCCATGGCAGATTAGGGGCCTGGCAGCAGCTATGGGAGGCCCGTAATCTGCCAGCACCCTATGTCAAAAAATTGAAAACACACCAGCAGTGTGAGAGACCTGAAAGTGGCACATGGCAGAGTGTGGCGATGGAGACAGCAGCAATGGGAGGCCGTACAGGGACCCATGAGAGACTCTGGACTTGGCAGCAGCATGAGGAGGCGGTATATAGGGGCCCATGGCAGATTAGGGGCCTGGCAGCAGCTATGGGAGGCCCGTAATCTGCCAGCACCCTATGTCAAAAAATTCAACACACCAGCAGTGTGTGAGGAGACCTGAAAGTGGCACATGGCAGAGTGTGGCGATGGAGACAGCAGCAATGGGAGGCCGTACAGGGACCCATGAGAGACTCTGGACTTGGCAGCAGCATGAGGAGGCGGTATATAGGGGCCCATGGCAGATTAGGGGCCTGGCAGCAGCTATAGGAGGCCCGTAATCTGCCAGCACCCTATGTCAAAAAATTCAACACACCAGCAGTGTGTGAGGAGACCTGAAAGTGGCACATGGCAGAGTGTGGCGATGGAGACAGCAGCAATGGGAGGCCGTACAGGGACCCATGAGAGACTCTGGACTTGGGCAGCAGCATGAGGAGGCGGTATATAGGGGCCCATGGCAGATTAGGGGCCTGGCAGCAGCTATAGGAGGCCCGTAATCTGCCAGCACCCTATGTCAAAAAATTCAACACACCAGCAGTGTGTGAGGAGACCTGAAAGTGGCACATGTTTGAGGCATGATTCATGGCGGATTTAGTCAGTTGTGTCAGGAACTGGTGGTTTGAAATCCAGACTAATCCACGCCTGATTCATTTTCACAAACGTGAGTCTCTCCACACTTTGGGTGGACAGTCGTGTCCTCCGCGGAGTTACAATACCTCCTGCCGCACTAAACACGCGCTCCGATGCCACGCTACTGGCCGGGCATGACAGCCTTTCAAGGGCAAATTCAGCTAGTTGGGGCCAAAGGTCAAGTTTCGTTGCCCAGTAGTCAAGGGGATTGTCTACCTCGGTTGGCAGGGTGCTGTCCAAGTAGGCCCAAGCCTGTTGTTTGAGCTCCTGCTCCAGGTCCACCTGATGCTGCTGCTGCTGCTGCGGCTGGTTAGTAGTTTCCTCACTGCGCTGGTGAAGAAAGCTACTCATCATCGACTGCAGACTGAGGCAGCCGCTGCTGGTGGAGCTGCCACTGCTCCTACCACCCCACCCCTCCCCTGCTGCCATGCCAGCGGAACGCGAGCGCACAGGGCCCACAGTGTCTGAGGATGGACGTTGGCGCACAAAGGCAGAGACCAACTGACTACATAGGTGGTTTTTATAGTACGTAATTTTGGCCTCCCTCTCAGCAGGTGTGAAAAAGGCCACCATTTTGGACCGGTAGCGAGGGTCCAACAAGGTGGACAGCCAAAAGT